GGGTGGTTTATTATTAGGGGGAGGGGATTAAGAACACCGGGCTTTTGTGAAAGGTTGCAGGCGGCAGCAGCGGGTGGTGGCAGCATTTTGCGCTTTGTCGCGCCAGAGTTTGCCGCTGACAAGGCACCTTGCAGCTGTACCCTTCCGAAGCGTCACATCAAACTGGAAAGTTGTCATTCAAGATTGTGCTCCGCCTGAACAGAACACCCTCCAGGTCTTCGTTGAGCACGTCATCAAGTTTGATTGTGCTTTGCTGCAGTTCCTGTCACATCCTGCCCACATAGCTGGCGACGTGCATTAGCAAAACAAGCACATGCCAGCCATTCTAACAGCTAGCTAAGGTACAAGCCTGGCGCATGCACCACCTGAGCTTCAGGAGGAGCAGCGTTTCTCCAGCACACTGCATCAGTGACCACGTAAGCTGGCAATAATTTAAATTGGGCCTCATCGTCACTTCCTGACATGATTCGTCAGCAACCCCAAGGGATGCATGCGATTCTTTCAACCAGGGTTCCAGGTACACCCGTACACCCTGTGCATGTAGACAGCAAGTGAACTGTTGCACGCAGTGCGTTCAGAGCTGTCTGGCAACCCGCATGAGGGTTCTTTGGGCCTTGGACCTGATGTTGAAACCGGACATGAATCCTCAGACATGTGTGACTCTGCGACGCAAGCTCAGTTTAGGTGAAGCACATGCCAGATTCTGTGACAATGGGCCTCAAGTCCATGTCATTTCCTTGTGGTTCACTTCTCAAGAAGCCATGAGCGCAAAACAGATCCTTCATTCACGGGCAATGCGACCCCAAACCCTTCTGGTTGTAGTATGGGCCTGTTTCGTGCCCAACTTTGATACCGTTTGCTTTTCGTTTGATGTGGTTCTGGTCTCCCCTACAGCATAGGGAGGAAGTTAGGGCAGGGGGAAAGGTGGTAGATAATGTTTTAAGGGTTTGGGAGATGGGAAACGACTGGATCCTGGTTTCTTAATTCCAGACGCCACTTTGGCCGCAAGAGGCAAGTTATAACTGAAACTCCTACGTTCCATGCAGGACCCAGAGCTGGTCCTGGCAGCAATCACTGCTGGTGGCGCCCAGGGCAGCGCGGCGCTGGAGAGCCTGGGGACTTTGGGGACTTGGGGGCAGCCATGTGCTGGGAGGTTTTGGCATGGATCAGATGTTTGCAGCTTGCGGTCTTGGAAGCGGAAGGGTGGGAGGCACATGGGGATGCAAGTCGCTTCCGGAAGCAAATTAATCCACGAATTCCGAATGCAACTCTGGCTATATGGTGTGCTTTTGCAAGAACATATTTAGACCCATGCGCGTGGCTGCTTAGTGGCTGCTTAGTTAGATGGATAATCAGGTAGACGGCCTCGTGCTCCCTAAACAGGTTCTCAGCCTGGAGATTTCGATGAGCAGCTCTTGAATTTCCCGCAAGCATGGAGCTTTCAGCTATTCACTCTATGTCCTCGTCAGACATTCAGCAAACTTGACGAAAGCATTTTTAAGGTTTGCTACGGTCGCCCAGAAGACCTGAATCCTACTGCAACAGGTAAACAGAGTTTTTGGACATGAACGGACTGGAGAAAGAGGGTTATGCCTGTTATGCTGCTCTTAGCATGGTTTGGCAGCGGCGAAGGTGATGAGGAAAGTGGAAAAGTGTGCGGAGCTGCCCTTGCATTATTCAGTAAAGTCTAAGTCCTGTAGAGGAGTTTGCCCGAGGTTGTAGACCCACACATGGAGAGATTCCCTGCAGGATACATGACTATGCCCTTGCTGTCCTTGGCCTCCCAAAGTGCAAGCAAAATTCACCTAAGACCTCACGGTTCTTTGGGACTCCTTCACTTGAGGAGCTTGCGCCCGAATCCCTGCGGGACAATCGCAAATTCCTGCTGCGCGCAGCGAAAATAACTCCACAGGCGAGACTTCATGCATGTCATAGCTTGGGCGCAACGTTGGCATCACAATAAGATGTGTCAATTTCACGAATGATTTAAGCGCTTGGGCTCCTCGGTATTTGTTTCAGGCACTTCGCCTTGCGCCTGAAAGACTTCGAACAGACAGGAGCTTTGTCCTCGAGGTGACCCTCCTAGCGGGTGTTGCACCAAGTGAGGTCGTAGCCAGTTGCGTCTTCGAAGGCTTGGTTTACAATTCCACTGTGCCACTTGATGACAGTTCTCAGTGACAACAGTGCGCCGTTGCTTGTAGGGCACATCCAAACACATGTTGCCCGTCAACCTGCTGACCAAATGGTCTGGTTCGTCGCAACAGGCGGTGCAGCGGCGCGGAGCAGCGCTGCAGTTTGCGCCTTTCGAGTTCCGAGCAGACCCTGAAGTGGCCGCTGCGGCAGCAAATCATCGACGTTTATTCGAAGGTAGGCTGTTACGGGATGTTACGGGACGTGTCCTCTCTCTCGGCAACATTGACTGCAAATACGAGAGTGGCTTTTCAGCAGTGACCGAGGTTCTGGAAGCTGTGAAACAGGACAGGCGGTGGCATGCGAATGAACCAGACAACAAAGCTATATGACCCCAGGGCAACTCATAATCAGCACACATGGCGCGTTTGCATGTCTCATAGCAGGCCGCAGGCCACAAAGAGCTTTGTAGGCCTGATGGAGAGCCAACAACTCAAGCTTTTTGAAAGGACCTGGGTGCATTGGCGCTCTTGGGCAGCAAAATGTTGCGTTCCAGATCCGGTTGCATGGAACGGATGGACACATGTCAGCGTGTTGGCTACGAATTCCCTTGCTTACTTTCCCAGGTTTGCGGATGCTCCTTTGCGTGCCTTGGTCGAATAAAGGTCTCATTGTGGACGCTGAGGCATGCTCACAAGATCAGAAAGACAGAGTGCGCTCCATATAGTGCCAGAAGGCTTCAGGAAAAATTAGGGTCGCAGAGCCTGGCAAAAAAGGTGTGCAGGATTGCGCTCATCTCTCAGTTTGACCTGCAAAAAATCCGAGGACAAGACGACAAGTTCAGAGAGGGGATCAGGTACTTGCAGAAGGCAATTGAGGTAACGTGACCTGCGAAATGCTGCACGCCACCATGGTTGGGAAGGATTCCATGCGTTTGTTATTGATGGCCTGAAGTGCAGAAGCCCGCCCGCCTGTCAGCGCATGGCGCAACGCAAGATGCTTTCCAACTCGGGTGGAACTAACTCCTAAGGAGTTCTTGCATTCCCAGAGTGTTTCACCAGAAGCCTCTATACCTCATGTAGAAAGGAGCGCTTTCTTTCAGATGCATTCAACCCGGCTCATGCAAGTGTACATGATGGCAGCGCAGGGATTGCAGAAGGATGGACATTGGCAAAGATAAGCCAATGCCAGAAGATCATGGCTCAAAGGGTGAGAGTGCAAGCATGGGCCTGTGCTATGAGAGGGGCAGAGCATAAGTAAGCCCAACCACGTTGCTGTTCCTCGTAAGTTGGCATTCTTTTTGCTGCAGGATCCTAATCCGGGTTGCGTTGCAAGAGATCATAGCATAAGGGACGTGGATCAAAAAATCAGCATAAATTTTTCTGTTTCAGAGAAAATCATATGGAAATCCTATGTCAGGAAGAAAGGAAGGAAGTATAAAAAGAAATCAAAATATTCTGTTGATGATGAAAGAGAAAATCCTGTCTCAGGCAGAAAGGAGGGGGAAGGAAGGAAGTAACAGGAAAGAAGAAGAAGGAAGGAGCAATGATCACACGAAACCCTTGCTGTAACCAAAAGGTATCATGTCAACAGTAAGGGAAAGTTATGCAGATCATTTTGTTTCCAAAAAGGTGGTATAATTTGATCCATGCTTCATGTTCTTTTCAGTTTTATGGTTTCCACATGTTTCATCATGCTTCATCATTGTTCATCATGCTTCATATTTTGTATCTCGTGTGGCGCTCGCTCACAATTGAATATGTTGATTTTTCTCATTTTCATTATTTCATCATTCTTAGTTATTCTTCTTTTCATCATTGTTCTATAACTTGTCCATCATTGCTTGTCATGTTCATCATGTTTCATCGCTCTCGCGCGGGGCTTGCTCACATTTGACTATTATGATTTTGTTAATCCCTATTTTGATTTTGTGGTGATCCTCGATTTTGCTTTTTGATCCTTATTTCGTTTTTGTTCCTCACACGTAGGGCCTCAGTTTCGGCTGATCACTTTGCATGCAGCTTTGGCGGGGGCCTTAAGCCATGAACTGGAGAGGAGCATGCTCAGCTAATGATTTGCAACAGTGACTGGCGGTGTGAAACCCTTGGGACTCTTGTAGGCTATGCCTCAATCTTGTGGCTGCAGAATTTGGTCGTACATTATCCATCAAGCGCTTTAAAGCCTGACAACACAAGATGTCACAACTTGTGAAATTCCAAAATGGAAAAACTCTAGAGGGCCCCTGCCTTGTCGCGTGCAAACTGGGCAATTTTGATTCAAATGCCTCCCTACGTTGTGCTGCCGTGCTGCTAAGTTGCTGGTACCTCGGAGAAGGTGCTTAGTGCTTCTACTTTCGGGACCCAAATCAGCCTTCCATGTTGGTGCTTGTTGTTTTTGCAGCAGCCTGCCATGCAACAGCCCGCCTGAATGTTTTCGTCATGCGATTCACGACCATGATGTTGCTCATGTTTTCCTATGCGAGGGGGCCGAGCCAATGCCTCGGATGCTTCCTGTTCTCGATTGGATCATCAGACATTTACATTGCATAGCAACGTGCCTGTTGAAACCCAGAACTTGAACATCACAAAATCTTTCAAAAAAAATCTGCAGACAATCCAACGGCAGAACTCATTGACACAAAAGCCCTCATACCTATGAGGCACATGTTCACTGTCGCAGGTATCTGAATGTTTTGCCCGAGCAGTCTTGCAGCAACTGCTTGCGAAGACAGAAGTCGTTGCACCGGCTTTTGTTTGTTTTGGCTGAGAAGAGCCCGCCCTCAGTGCCAAATCCAAAACATCAAGCTCAGGGGTTTTTCAGGGTCCTGGACCATAAACCTTCAAGCTGCAGGAAGCAAATCATATGGAAGATGATCTCATGTAGAGCATCAAAAGCATGTTTCCAAACCCCAGGCAGAAAGCCCAACCACGACGCCACAGTGCATATGAAGTCGTTGAATGGGTACTGCAGAGCACTAGATTGTTGCGTCCATTGCAAGTACTGCACGCAGACATTGCCTGATTGGCCGGGACTTTGACTTGCGTGTCGCAAAATGAAGTGAATGCACATTGGTTCAAGGTAGCAACTATCCATCATGTTTTTGTCAATGAAGTAAATTTCCTGCCCCAGCACGATTTTTCGCTGTTTGATTCAGGTCAGTGCTCAGCATAGCTAAAACATGCTAAAACGCTAGTCAGCGAGCCCTGCCAGGGTCGCTTACAGCAGCCGCCAGTGCGCAGATTCATGCCACCCGTGCTGTTGCAACAGAATGGTTCCAGGCGCGAAGACGAGACCGAGGCAGGGCCAGGGGCGCACAAGACACAGGGCTCGTTGAACGTCACTACTGCCGAGCTACCAAGCAACAGTGGTGCAGCCTAGTAATCTGCAACAGCGGTTTGGTTCGACCCTCGCAGGCAGTCAGGGCAGTCAGCCGACCTCAGCGCCGTGCCGCTGCTGCGCTGGGACAGATTCGGGGTATCGGACCCAAAGGTCGGCCTGACAGAGCCCCCGGCGCGCTGGTCACTAGCTGCCAGTGGTACAACAGAATCCGCATGCGCAGGGGGCTCAACGCAGAGATGTTGCGCACACTTTGCATGGCAGGAGGGATGCAATCAGCACCTTATGAGCAATTGTTGAGCGGATCCGTTGTTGGACGGTATTGCGTGAAGCTGGCCGAATCTTTCAGGTTGCAATCCGGGATCGCAAACGTTGCTAGCCATCGCCTGAGGTGAAAGTCTTGAGGTCCAAACTGCAGTAGACCGTTGATGGTGCAGAAAGAGCGTAAAGCATGGTGTGAAGAGACTGCGGGAACGATTCCACCACTCGAGAATTGCACATAGCCTGCCAAACGTTGAAAAAAAACAGATCAGTAGCATCCGCCTCACGACAACAACAGCAGCATCACAAAACAATTTCGTGAGGCAAAAGAGGTTATCACCAACCACGGCTTGTGACTGCAAAGGTGCACAAGCCGTGGAACAATTCAACTGGATGAAACGCTATCAGAGGTCGTCTACGTCATGATTTATGTCGTCCTCCTCCATGCAGCCTTTCTGGACTCATCTTTGCACTCGAGATGTCCGTGCCCAAGCCCACATAACATGCTACATTGCTCATGTGCCTGTGAGCTCGAATCATAGCTCGAATCATGGCGGTCTGTGAGGCCAGAAGGACCATGCACAAAGAGATTGGCCAAAAAAGCAGATTCTTGTGGAGCAACACCTGCAGGTGCAAATGTGGTTGGGCTACTTCCAGCCTGCTTCCAAATCAGGCGCTGGCTCGGATTGGGTAGTTGCACGTGACAAGGTAGGTGGAACAGCGTCTGCATTTAATGGGAAGGCATTATTGTTCCGGATTGAGTATTTGATATGGGGGAGGGGTGATTTATCGTACGACCTAGGCAGTAGGGGGGGGGGAATAGGATCCCTTTGAAAGGAAAAAGAGCCAAATAAGAGTCGATTAAATCAAGTAAAGAGCCAATGAGTCCAAATAGAATTGTAGTTAAACCATTGAGATCTAGCGAACATCTAAATGCAACCAGTTTAAAATAGATTGTACATAGTACACAGCCAAATAAAATCTGTTCAGAACCTACTTAATCTAGTCGGAAACTAATTAGAATCTGATCATATTCTAGTATAAAGGAATTAGAGTTTAATTTGAAAACAGTTTCAAACTGCTATAAAACGAATTAGAATCACATGCATAGTTTATGTAAATTCCTTCGTAAACATTATTCAAAAAAATCAAAATCCGGAAGAAAAAAAAAACTAATCCTTAAAAGTCGTGCTAGGGAACCCCCTAGCTCAGAGGATCCGAGCCGTAATTAACTTGGCCTCTTAAGAATAGTCCTGGGGGCAGATTTCAGAGTTTGGAATACTGGGGAACCCGTATTTGACATTAATGGCCCCATGGCAGGGACGGCAGATGGACCTGGTGCTCGCCTGCAACCCTTGCCAGCTGCAGCACAGTGCTGGCGGGTGTTCTGGGCATTTGCCAGATGCGCTCTCCCTCTAGGGGCAAAGAATTAGCTTTAGAGGCTGGACACTGAGAAAGTACAGAACAGTCTCAAATTGCTTGGAGCTGGTGAGGCCTGCCTGTCATGCTCATGCATGGCGGCTTCTCTCTTGCTGTTCTCCCCTGACCCGTCTCCATTGCTTCCATCGCCTCCGCAACCGCGGGCAGCACGGCAGCATGTTGGCATCGCAGCACCTTCAGAATGGAAGACATTTTTCAGCCTTAAACGTAAGAGCACAATTCAGCAAAGACTGTACCAGATTGGTGTGATGCAGAATTACTTGGTAAGCTGGCCTCGCGCGTGAACGGCTAAGCACAAAACGCGACTTTTTTTTTCTTGTATGTTTTTGCTTCAGCCATGATAGAGTTGTAGTTCTCCTTGGCTACATTAAGACTTCAGTGAAGCAGCTTTGAATTTGATTAAAGACCGGGCTGGGTGTTGAATGCACCTGAAGCCCGCACATGACGCAGAGGATTCTGAAAATCGTTCGCTGACCAGAACAAGTGTGAACTCAAATAGATTGAACTAATTGCTTGAAAAATGCCCTTGCACAACTTGCACATCACGACTCCTTTTGTTGCTGGCGTGCTAGCAAATGTTTGCAACGTTGGTGTCCGCATGACCCTAACTATGACAGATCTTGGGATTCAGACAGGCTGACCCTTCTTGATTCTGTTTTCAGACCTTGGGTGGTCATTGCGCAACAGTCGCTGCTGGAAATCGAGAGTAAGAACTTCTTAGACTGCGAGTGCTTCTATAGACCCCCGAACTTGTCGGCAAGGATTCAAGATGTCTTTTCCTGTTGGCTTGAGTAAGAGATCCACGTCCGGCAGCTTGAGTGGGAAGCATGCCGCACACCGGCCCGCTGACAATGCTTCTATGAATGAAGGGCTTGAAAAAATTGAATCATGGCACACGAGCAAAGTGGCTACACAGCCCACTTGCTGGTGAGAAGCCAGGAAGCATTTGGACTTCATAGTGAACTTGTTGGGCCCAGAGCCTGCGCACATTGTCCAAGGTGGATGAGCTTGATGAGAGATGGCAAAACCTGCAGGCTTCCGACTTCACCTCCAAAGTTTCAAAGCATGAAGCCTGTCTTCAGTGAGATTACATATGAATCGTTTGAGCTGCAAGTGCGAGCCCCGCTCATGGGCCAGCAAGAAGAATTCTTTTGTACATGTCAGACCTGGCTAAGCGAATCCTTTTACCTCACCCTCTACACCCCTAGCAAGAAGAAGGGGCGTGCATTCAAGCACAATGTTTGACGGTCAGCTCACCAACAAGTGAGAGGAGAAGCAAGGGGCAGTTCTGAAGAAGAGGCGGTTGTTTTGAAGCTGCTCCCTCTCTTCAGCGATATAGACGTGGCAGGCAGAAGCAGAACAACGAAATCGTCAGATGACCCTACTGCAGGTAGGGGCCATCAGGTTTCTTCCCCTTGGCTTCAGTTCCTTCATGTGGTTCAAGCATGCAGCACTACGGCATCATTAGCATGCAGGCAGAAGCTGAACAAAAGGACGGCTTACTGGCCCTACTGCAGGCGGCGCCTGTCCTGCAATGAATGCTGGCCAGACTTTGTGTTTTCAACTTGCCGCAGGCAGAAGCGAATCAACGAGAAGGTGCATTCAGCAAGCTTCAGGCCTTAACACTTCCAGCCTAGTTTCTATCGCAAAGTCACTTGACTTGCACTTGAGGAGGAGGTTGCGTCTTTGCGAGTTGCAGCCAGCTCCAGTGCGGCCGTCGCTCGAGAGGCAAACCATGGATCGATGCTTGGACAGCACCTGGTTCAAACATGGCATCACGCGGCTCTGCCAAAGTAATGTGACATCCAAAGCATTGCATTATCAAAGTTTGTAGTGGTTTTGTTAGACATGAAGTCTATCTTTTTCAAGGAGGATGTGCCTAATGTGTAAGACCAGGGCAACCGAGTTTCTCATTGCAGATGTAACCGCTGAGATGATCAGGTTTGAGACAACACAAAACATGACCTTGGAAGGTTGATGCTTTTTTTGTTTTTAGCTTGATCTAATGTGCTACCCTGTGCTTACTCAAAAACCCAAGCACAGCCAAAACAATAGGCACCTACTTGACACCCAAGGCTTCTTTGCAAGATATGCTTCGAGAATGAAGCTACTTGGTCAGCATCATGCCAAGTCAGTCCAAGAGACAGAACGACTCAGATGACGGTATCTCTTGTTTGGCCATGTTTTCCTTGTTTTTGCAAGCCCTGCCTCCCTTCACTGTTTGTAAGGGCTCTCACGCAGTCTGCACACATGGTGGGGTTCATAAAGACTAATTAATTAAGGGCAAAGCTGGTCTTGCGGATGGGTTCTCAGGCAGTATGGAGTCAAGAGCTACAGATACAAAATCATTACGGCCAAACTAACGTTTTTGCAGAAAATGGCTTGATGCACTTTATCAATTAGGTGTGTTATCATTGATTTTTATGGGGCAGGCATTGTGTGAAGTAGGGCTTGCAATTTTCTGGTGAGTGTATAGAGAGCGTCGCACTGTAGGAAGTAGGTGAGCGTATCTATTTGGTGTCCAATTTGGGGCCAGAAATTGAGATCTTACCATTTGTCGCAGTGGCTCAAAACAGATTAAGAAGCAAGTGCAAGTGGACGTAGGCTCAGTTATGATCTCAGGCTTCCTGATTCACATTCGAGCTCGCACACCGCAAAGCTTCTAACTCAATTGCAGGCAGCTCGATAACTGTACGACTCGGGAGTGACACGCCTTCAAACACGTGACTTTCACAGCTCGCATGGCGGCAGCTGCCATGACCCTCGAGAACTCTCACCACACGTGGTTCAGATGCGTCATGCGGCTGCGACGTTGGTATTCACGACGCTTTGTGTCAGAGCATATAGAGAGCAGCTCTTGTCGTCTTGCATCTTTTTGGCATCCGCAGAGGGTAACTGCTCAGAATTGGTGGTTGGAGGTGCGCATGTCCATCAGGAATTGGACGTCGCATTCAGTTTGTGTGCAGGCTCAGACGTTGAAGAGGCTGTGAATGGCTTCGGATTTGCTTTGAGAATGTATATCTCTCCTGATGGGATGTTCTACGCTCACGCTGCAACTCTACGGCCTGGGCGTCAAGTTCTGCGTGTTCGGACAAACTTTGTGCGGTTCCAGTGGCAGGCACCTGCAAGAGAAGTGTCGTGGAACGTGACATACTTTGGCACTATCGGCTTGTTTGGTCGGCCATGCGGCAATGTCGAGACAATTGTTTGGCCACAAACTGAGTGGCATGTTCCGCGGGTGAAGGTGCGACCAAACGGATGCTTCCCAACACCTCTTGCAAAGCATTGTTGTCGTCCATTGCGCCCACAGTGCTGGGGCCACAACCATCTACTGGCTTTTGCCTGCTGTGCAGTGCCTTACGAGCCTGCTTTCGCGTCAACTTGCTTGATGTCAAATCCAGTGTTCCCCAACAAGAACCAAGACTGCAGAGGTCAGCCGCTGAACTTTTTTCGCACATTCCACCAAGGGAATGAGTTGAAGATTGTTGTTGCTGGTCGGATCGGAACAGTTTCTGACGTTAATGCCTCCTTGGCCGCAGGCTGTTTGCTTCAGAGTGTGGTATACCTTTTCCATGAGCTTCATCATCTCAGTAACAGCGGAGAATGGTTGACTGCAATACCCGTCCATCGTTTGGTTGGCTTCGTGAGCTTGTTCCAGGTACGATCTCCACAAAATTTGGTGCAGCACAGCAGCATAGCATCACAAACTTCCTTGCATTACAAGGCATGTCTCACACCCCTTGTTCTACATCTCTACATTTTTTGACCGCTGCGAGAACCAGAAATTCCAGATTCCATCCTCGCCTGCCAGGAGCTCTTGGAGAGCTGCGATTTGGAAGCGCAAACCTTCTATCGCTTGACCGGGCTGCTTCCAGACCAGATGCGCTACTTGGTTTGGCTGTCTACTGGAAGGCACGAGCACTTGGAGACTACCTGATTCATGTGTTCCGGTGCCCGCACCTCGTAGAGATGAAGAAGTAATCTTTGCCAATTTGCCAAGATTCCTGCAGGCGATATCACTGGCTGCTGGACCCGATCCTTTTGCGAGGGCGGCCTTTGATTGTTGACATCGGAGTCGCTGGTGGGCTGGCTTCGAAGCAGCAATAGAGAAGTCACTTGAAACACTGCGCAGCAGTCATTCTGCTCAGCCCATGGCTGGATGAGAATATATTATTTGTTCCCATCAAGAACCAAATTCAGACCTCGCTTTTTCCGGTTGGGCCACACGTCCTGATTGTGGCGGCTTCTTATTGATATATAGACCTCACACCCTGTGAATTTCAATTTCAGATTGAAGTCAAGCTGCCAACAGCTTTTGCCAGGATAGCTCCCTCTACTTGGCACTCGGGGCCCAGGTGTTGGCCTATGAGGCAGCGGATCCGCAGAGTGCAGATTCACAATGCCTCTCTCTTCGCACATGTGACGGTTCATGCACATTCCAGCAGATACATGAAGGCAAATCCGGCAGCGGCCAACTGCTCGGCGAGTCGATTGAAGTCAGCACAGCGCAGCGGACGCCTTGTTCTACACAACGCCAAGATCAGCACAGGACGCGAAGCAGGGTAGTGTTGCGCAAGTTTAGCGCTCATTCTGCGGATAAGCATTCACAGCATGACAGCCGTTGCTCAGGACAGGGACAAGAGCTGTTTGTCGGTTCAATGCATGCACTGGACTTCGAGCGGGCTGGAGAGGCCGAGTTGCCCAAGTATTCCTCAGACAGGCTGGAGCGAGTGAAAAGTTTCCATGGCAAGCAAGCACTGTGCAATTGTTTGGGCCAGTCAGTCGGCACAGGTTTGCAAACACAGTGCAGCTTTTGACAACGAGTTGTGCGGACATCATTTTTGAGCATGGGGTGCCCTTCTACATGAAGATCGACGTCGAAGATGCAACAAAGACTTGCTTGGACTCATTGGGAAGAGTTGCGGACAGCCTCAGGCCGCAACTCATATCAGCTGAGCGTCTTGGCTTTGAATGCGCAAGCTGTTGGGGCCAAGCAGTCGGTATGAGCAATAAGTTGCCAGGGTCATGGGCTATGATGCTTGGCTGCTTTGTTTGAGGATAGAGGATGCCTCAACATTGATGCGACTCGCTGCCCTCGGATACGAGAGCTTCAAGATTGTTCGCCAGTCACCTCACGGCTTCCTGAATCTTGCTCAATCTTGATGAGCTTTCTGTCAGCGCTGCTGTAAATTATCTTGGGTGTGTCTTGATTTTTGCAGATGCAGGTTAAGGGTTTCAGGATTGTTCTGAGAAAACCTGCGCGCGTGGCACAGAGAGAAGACGGAGAGAGGGCCAAAGCCTTGCCAGGCAAGGATAAGTGGGGCATCAATCTCTCTGGATATTCTTTGACGCACTACTGCAGGAGGTCTATGCCCTCTGGCGCATGTGCCTTGCACGGCGCGCAGCAGCTCAAGGAGAGTGCGACGGGCTTGTTTGGCGATTCCGCAACTGATTTGATCGCTGGCTCCGAGTGGGCATCCTTCAAAGAAGCATTGGATCTGTACATGACAGTAGTGAACCCACACATCAGGAATGCAGTCGGTGCATGGTTTCCGTCGGCAAATGCTGAATGGTTTGACGTTCACGCTCGACGCACTGCCGCAGAAACTGGACCCGTTTCGTTGCACACTCATAGAGAGCATTCCTGGAGACTGAGGGTGATAGATGTGAAGAAGATGCACAAGGGCAGGATGACCACCCACCTCAATACAGCAGCAACCTTGAGCACGCAACAGCCAAACTGCTGGAACCTCAAATATTGATTGTGCGCTGAATGTTCAAGAGCAGTCGCGCAATCCCACAAACTTGATGCTTTCCCGGAACTTCTTGAGCTTTAGGACTAGGATTCATTTGCAGCTTCTGTCAGATTCTGTTCTGAAATCCCGTGCACTCAGGTGGGTTGCGCTTTGTATCCCTGCCGGCATCATGCTTTTTGCTTGCCCTGCGCTTCACAGCTGCTGCAGCGTGGGCAGGCGTGTCCGTCCCTTGGTTTCAGCCAGTGATAGTTGTACTAGCTTCGCTGAAGCAAAGCTTGTCCAGCGTGACTTTCTCCATCTCAATGCAAGATAACAACATCAAAAACATAAGCTTCACAATTGTTTCTAGCTGCTTCCAGCTTGCAATGTGTGCTGATGAGGGTCACGTAGAAGCCAATTTTAGATGTAAATCAAAGCAGATAAGATCCGAATGCTTTCCCATAGGTTGCTTACTCATGAACTGAGGCTGTGCCGACGCCAAGTTGAGAACTTGTTCGAGACTTATCCGGGCTGATGCACAAAAATATGGGCAGTTGTGAGTGCCGAAGAACCCATTCATTTTTTTTGCGCGGCTTTCATGACTTGCATCGGATTGCCGTTGAAGTAAAAGGATGATCAAAGTTCTTAGGGCTTTGCACCCCGTCTCAGCACGGGACTGTGGGGCCCGAGGGGTGCATATCTCCTATGGCAAGGTCTTCGTAAACATGCTTGATGTGAAGTCTTTGAGCTTGATTACTGGGCTTCTAGTATCTTGATCCAGAAATCCGACGTCACCAGACACAGTCTCATGTATGGTTTATGCCAAGTTCAGACCGGCCCCAGCCACGAGACACGGCTCATAAACGAAGAGCGGATCACATGGAGGAGCATCCCATGAGAACGCTTAGCGTCTTGCCATCTATAGTAACCATTGAACGCAAGGTGGCAGCCCCCAAGCCTAGTTGCTACTGTCAGGTACATTTTCATATCTTTTCATATTTGTGCAGAAGGCACCCTCAGGTTGTGGTGTAAGCATTGGCAGTACAAGGAAAAGGTTTGGGGCCTCTGGGCTTTGCTCACGCGGGGCGGCACCTCCACCTGAGAATGGATGGTGGAGAGGATTTCAGGCTTGAGGTTTGAAAATCTAAGACCAAGCCTTCAAGGCGTCCGGACGAGTGGAGGAGGCTCTCAAGCTTGAAAGTGTTGAGATGCTCAAAGGCTAGAACTACATAACACATGCTTTGTGGGACCTTACTTCGGCAGGCACGAAGCTATCAACTGTAATTTTTGTACACCGAACATGGTTTGAGAGCACGCGGGTTCAACGCAAAGCTCCTTTGAACAGAGTGGCAAGTATGTGCTCTCAGTAGAAAATACCTTGGCAAAAAATGGCCCAATTCCAACAGTGAAACTTGATCTAAGGCTACATAGGCTACCCGGCGCCTCAGCTGTTTTCACAGATCCCTGCTGTAAACAAAACTGTTGAGATGGCATGGCATGGGGCACCGTTGCCTGGGAGATCTCTGGAATCGTATTCTGCATCTTTGGGCTCGGGAAAGCGCAGAACTTGGTTCACTACCTTTCAAAGCCCTGGTATTTGCGACCCAGAGTGGTTCTCCCGCAACTTGAAATACAGCAGGAAGTGGATAATGCCCCTCCCTTCTGGCGCACGCCAATCTTCTTGATTTGCCGTGATCGCCTGTACTACCTGCAGATGTTGGTGTCTCAGCTTCAATCGCTAGGCTATTACCACATCATCGCAATCGACAATAATTCGACCTACAAGCCGCTTTTGTCCTGGTACAAGGAGAAGCTGTTTTGGGTGCTGCATTTGCCGGCTAATTTGGGCAATGAAATATCAAAAGTGCTATGGAGGATGCACTGGAATCGCTCCACCCACGTGACTGAGTACATCAGACACTTTGGAGGTCGATATGTTTTGGCCGATCCGGACACTCTGTTCGAGGCTAACGTCCCTCGGAACTGGCTGCAGCACTTTTGGGAGATCATGGACCGCCACAACGTGAACAAGGTGGGGGCTGCCCTGCGGCTGGATGACCTGCCAAACCACTATGCTGCACGGAAACAAGTTTGGCAACACGAGTGCAGGTTTTGGCGAGAGGATCTGCTTGTACAAAAGGAGAAACATGTTTTCTGGGCTCCTATTGACACCACAATGGCACTCATCAGAGTTTTCCAGCGGGAGATGCCAGCTTCGAATCCTTCATGTTGCTTGCGTGTTGCAGGGCCTTACACTGTCAGGCATCTTCCCTGGTACGAGAACAGTCGCTGGCTGCTGCCTGACGTGAGCTATGCAAAGAAGAATCGGGGGCAAGGCCACACTTTTGGCTGGTGGTCCAGAGCTGAAGGGTTTGCGAGAAGAGGCAAGACGATCATTGATTCTGACAGTCCTACTGGCCAGTTCGGACGTGCCAGCAACGAAACGTTTGTTTTCCCAGCTGGCGTGGAGTATGTAGGCTTTTGCCGACGATTCTCTCATGGGATCCCGGCGACAACCGTACGACCACCACAATGCCAGCAGGCCCATATCTCCACGCAGGAGAGCAGGTCAATACAAGTTGCTGGCGTCCAGGTCCGCTTTGCTTTAGGCGCCTTTCAGGCTGACCTTTGGCCGAGTTTTGAGGGTGAGGCCCCGGCATTCTTCGCAGCACTGCGAAGCGTAGTAAAGGACCTAGTGGTTTTGGATGCGGGAGCTGGCATCGGCTTCTCAACGCTTTGGCTGGCGCAGTTAGGTGCCAGAGTCGTGGCCCTGGAGCCTGCGCCAAACCTTTTCAAAGCACTATGTCAAAATCTTGCAGCCAACGAAGATGTGCAGGCTTGCTAAGGGACACAGATGTAGCGACCAGCTGTGCAAAGATAGCTTTGCATTGCGCAAAGGAACAACCTTTGCTTTAAGACTGACTGCAACTGCTGGAGTGCGCAGGTGCTGGCCTTCAGGGCAACACTGGGGCTTTGGGACGAGGAAGTGACGCTGAAGACACCCTGGGAGTCTGGCTCCGGCTTCCAGGCAGACCGGCAGACCTGAGTCCTGCAGCGATTTGCTGCCATGCTTTGCCATGCTTTGCCATGCTTCGCATGTTGGTTTGCACTCACCCCGTTTGTGAACTGTTCCTGATTCTTGGGAGCACATCTGCAACACAAAATCATTTGGACCCTCGTCAGGTTGGCATGTGGAAAGACGAAGTATGAATGTTGGCTTGTCTTGCACTAGGATGCACAGTGTTGCAATGCAGATTCCCGCAACTTTCCTCAACAGCGAAAGGTGCAAGCAGTCTCAATTTCCACATTGCGGCTGCAAGCCATTGAGTTGGAGGATGTGGGCCTAGTGAGGATCAGCTTGTCCTCGATACTCGCCTTGTTTTTCAAAGGAGTTTTTTTGGTGTTCAATGCCAACTCTTGCGGAAATACCTGCCAGTTTGCACGCTAAGTTCAGGACATCATTGCCGCCCACTGCCTCTCTCTTAGACTTTCTGCAACAGACGCAGCCATTGCTTTGGATCCATGGCGGGCCACTCATCCCAAATCAATTGCACCCGGCAATGCAGCAGCTTTTGTCAGCATGCCGATTTCTCTATGATGCGACGCTGCAGAACGTGGTGCTGAGGACCCAGTGGTTTGAGAAAATCGTTGTTCTGTGGTAATTTCGAGACCTGCACAGTGCAAATGCAGAGTGGGTTATGTAAAGAGCGTAGTTCATCATCAGAGCGTTGCTGCTAGACGCTTTGGGCCGAATCCTGTGGTGTGTGCCCTAAACATAAACGCTTAGCATCGCTGGGAATCAGCGCCTGTGAAATCCCATGGTAATTTAAGGAGTCAAGGAGACGAACTTTTGCGACGGGTGTAAATCAGGCATACCATTTTCTTGAAGAGCGGTTCCCGCAGTGTCAGCGCACTGTTCGTGGGGAAACCAGGATTCCTCTAGGACTGACATTGACATTATTCCACCGTTTCCTCCGGGCCAAGCTTTGATCATGCATCACGAAGCTATCGCATCTTGAAGAGGAGTGGCGAGGCAATCTCGGACCTGCTGTGCACCCAGGCGCCGCTGAGTATGTGACCGCTGCTTGAAATGGCTTCGAAAATTGCCCACGCCTCTCGTAGAACAACCGTCCTAGAGTCCTACAGTAGAAGGCCATGCGTCAACCTTTTGGCCTAGCATCCTGGGCTTCCTTAAGACCCTGGCCATGGCAACAAAACGATGTTTTCTTTCGATTTGGGAGTCAGCGTTCCTTGGCTCCTTCCAATGACGGGTGATAGGTGCATGTTCATGGTGGGGGCCAAGGACACAGTGACAGTGGTTTGGGGTGGCTGGAAGGATTGGAAACTGCTGCCTAGAAATGATTTGGAACGGGTGCGGACAATACATGCTTGCCAGCTCTACGGACTTCCTTTACGAGACCGTCCTCGTATGCTTGCTGCACTGAAGATTGATGAAAGACCTGGTACAAAGAAAGAATTCTGAAGAAAGCTTCAGCTGCGGAACCCGATTGATCTGGTTGCAAACATATGTACGATGGATAATTGTCTACAAGTCTTCACGTGCACGTTTATTCTGTTGGTTTGCAGAGTGCTCAACTTGAGTGAGTCCAAGCCATCTATGAGCATGTCCCGGAGAAGTACAAAATCTGATTCATACCCCTAATAGGCCCTACAAGCCGTGCCACAAAAGAAGTGCCAGGACTGCTTTGTTCTAGAATGCTATATTGAATTCCTTTTTCGAGACAGTTCTATCTAGAAAGTGACCATGTTCATATTTCACCACAATGTTTAGGTCGCCATTCAACGGTATTGGCAGATGCGTATTGGCGCAGTGAAAGTAGCGTCAGGCCACGAACTCACACAAGCCCTTTCCCCGGTGATCTTGAACCCCATGCAGCAGTCCTTGCCTTTAACGCTGTCCGGCTAATTCTGTCAGTACGGAGTGCAGCTGGAACACATCTGAATCCGTGCATGGGGCAACTGGGATTGATAGCTTCCAAGATTTCTCAAATTTCGGCAACCACACCAACCACCAGCAACAAGTGTCACAAGCCATGAAGGTAGCAGACAAGAGCACATCCGCCTTGCAAGCAGCGCAAGCAGTGCAAGCAGTGCGCAGTACTCCCGATGCGAGAGGATGATAGGAAATATAACTAGCCATGAACAATGCCGCTGACCCGGCTCTACTTCATCATTGCTTCCGCCGCCTTGGAAGCCTATGGCGGACTTTATCGGTTCACGGACTGGGACTGCCGACAAGCAGGCACAGGGCTAGTCCACTGGAACGACCTCAGGAATGCGGCTGCCACAGAAGCGAGCATGATGCAAACGCCTTTACTCAATGTCGCTAGCATCTCGAACACTGCAAAGGAGAGTCTTGGTTGTACTGACCCTTAGCATTTTCACGGCTACATGTAGTTGTTTCCGGTCAGAACATTGTTTTTGTCAGTCCAGTGGCGCCAAGGGTTGGGGGATCCCCAGAAGCATGGGAGACGCTGTTCGAGGAGTGTCCTATTGGCACCATTTTCATACTTACTTTGGAACTTGGCAGCTGCATGGCAAAGCATTTGCGAGACCCAATCAAGCCATGCAACTGGCATGGCATCAGCAACCCTCGAGCTTGTGCATTTGCATCTTTTGATTAGCCTAATTTGTAATTTGTGTCCTAGCTCCACGGAAATGCCCAGGTGAGGGAATTGGGGGCTTCCTCATGGACATCATGTTTGCCAGGAACATCTCCATGGCTGTCATGCTGACAACATCTTGGCCTGTGCAAAACGCCCTTCATATGCCTTTCCTGTTCCAGCTTGGCAAGGACAAATCCACCATTTGGCATTCCATTCAGACTGACCCCTCAAACAATTGCAACTGGGTCAGCACAGCACATCATCTTGTGAAATGAAAGGCTAAGCCAGGGAAGTGCCCACATGACAGAATACCATTTGTCTGAGACCCAAGAGGTGAAGGCGATGGTATTTGGCCAGAAGTGCGACGCCAGCTGGGAGCAGCCCTCGGCGATGAGCAGCTGCTGTTTGGGCCGTTTCGTAACTTGATTTTCTCGCCGGAGATTCTGAAACTGGAAAATTATCTGATGAAAAACCCAGGCGGGTTTGTGCCAGGTTGCGCTTTTGGCTGGATTGCCGTGCTGCTTATAAAGGCCAGCATAGCCTGGCACACTGACACATTCTCCTATTTCTCCTATCACTGGACCTTGAAGCCCTACCTGGCCGAGCTAAAGTTTTGGGAGTTCTTCGGGTCCAGCTGGTTCCTGAACTTCCTTTTTGGCAGCTAAGCGAGAAAAATACCCTTCGCATAGGACAGAGAAGATGTGAAAAGTCAGAGATAAGGTCAGCTGTTTAAACGCATCCATGGTTATCAGCAGATGCCTCGATTACAGTTACGCTACTCGTGCTTAGTATTTTTTGCAGCTGTGATTGAGGTCGGCTTTGCATGTTCCACCGTACCAACATGGAGATGGGGTTCCTGGATGCTGAGCTCCTCCAGGATTTGGCGCCTGTGAGTTCAATCGGAGCTTTGAGGCTCGAGGCCTCACCGATTTTCCGAGCTGCAGCCGCAGCCGCACTTGGTCATGGCACGAAGGCCTACGTTGTAAAAGGCGAGACGCGTCTCTTCGCTTATGCGGTGTACGTTTGGGGCGAGGACATCAGCAATGAGCTTGCAGCACTCTAATTGCAAAAACCTTATGCCATGCCACTGCTTTGGTTTGTTGCGCGCCTGCCCAGAGTAATGTATAAAGCGATCCTGCCTGTCCCTCAAAGTTTGAGCAGCTGAAGCAAATGATGGAGGCCAGTTGTCCAAGAAAGGCTTCAGATCAGCAGAACTCACAAGCTTGCGAGAATTCATTTGAGGATGTCAGAGGTGTGTACAGTTTTAAGGTTGCAAAAGCGCTACCCCACAAGCTATAGCACAATCCGGCGCAAATATATTGCAGACAGCCACTGGCCTACTGAAGAGCGTGGGATATGTTGGGATGCCTGACATGAGTCGGTTTGCCTTCTTCAGGACTTCGTCAAGTGGCTCCCAGCCTACATCACACACTTCCACAGCCTTGGCGTGTACAATCTGATTATTTTCGGCGATGAGGCTGCATATGAAGCATGTTCTGGAGTGCTCCACGCAGTGTGCCTCCACATGCCGACGAAGAATTCGCTGCATCGCTACACTGTGCCGCTAGTTTTGATGAATCTGGGCGTGGATGCCTTTGTCATGGATTTCGATATCTATGCCTTCAAGGACGGGCATGGGTGACAATCTGATTATCGTGCGTTTGGTGATCGGCTTGAGGGGGGGTGAGCGGCGCCCCTGAAAGGCGTTGAGTTTACACATGTTTCTATTTGCTTCGGCTTCTGCGGGCGCGCAAAACTGGAAAAATTCGCGCGTTGTGTGATTTAGCAGCTACGAAGGATGTGTTGACAGTGCTAGGAGCTGCAGCAAACTTTTTGGGACGTATATATGCGTTTTCCTATGCGCCTAGCATGACTTTGAAGGTGTTTTTGTTCGGGGGGGTCTCGGGTCTGGAAGTTTCGTGCAGGTCTTTTAGCGAAGTATGTGTTTTACCATAGCAAAGCTATTCTGAGGGCCCTGGAGATGTGCGAACGCGACTTTCTGTCAGGCGTTTCCGGCGAGGTTTCCCAAAGCTGTCACTGTCAGCAAGTCTGACGCATCAATGCTTCTGCTCCAGATTGTCTGGAAAATTTACATCATCGAACTGATTGCTGTTACTGACCCTTTCGCTGCTTGTGCTGCGGCGGCTGGCGCAGATGTTGCCATCCAACTTTTTGCCGTTACTCACCTTGCTGCTGCTTCTGCTTGTGCTGCGGCGGCTGCTGCTACGAATACGTACGTGTCAATGAGAATATCCTCCTACAACCCCCCCACCCCCCGAATTCCATTGACATGAAAATCTATGCAACTGTAAGGCCAGTACGGGTCCCGTCTCCCAAAACTAGCTCTGAAAGGTAAGCAACTTGACAAAATTGGTTCCAAACGAGCCGAGCATGATTTCGAGAAAACAAAAGCTCCAAAATGCTAAAATCGGCCTGGAATGCGTTCCAAACAGGCAGAGCTCGCGTAAAAGGTTGCAATAGTTGATTTCCAAACGACCAAGGCTGGTGCTTGAAAGGCCAAGCCACCTGCTCAAGCACAAAAAATGGTAAAATTTGTGTCCAAATGACGAATAGGCCGAACTACTTCGAAAGTACGTACCCCAATTGATCCTAAAGTGGCAGTAGGTCCATTTGGGGTTGAGGCAGCGACGGTAGGGTGGAACAGGTTGGTGAGGTAGGTGGTGGTGCGGATGCCATTGCCGGTGCCTGGTCCTGGTCCTAGTCTTGGTCCTGCTGCAGCAGCTGCCTCCTGCTGCTGAGAAAAGATGTTGGAGAAGAGGATGTTAGAAAAATTAGAATCTGAGGACCCGACGCCTGTCTTAATCTCGGAGCTGGAGAGCTACAGTGATGCCCCCGAGATGCTGCTGGCTGCTTCCTATGGCGACGCATGCATTTGTAATGCTTCTTGGGCCAGAATAAGAAAAGTTTGGCTTTTTTGCTCGCGGTGGACTTCAAGGCGTGCCCGGAAGTATGCAGGCCTCAACCAAGTTGGGACAGCAAGAGATACCGAAGTCGTCGAAGTCTAGCTAGCGATCAAGGGTGCATTGATAAGCCCAGCCCAGCCTTAGAAGATATTTGAGATCCAGGCCCTGGTGTTCTACCGGAGCACGCCCCGCCTCCGCCACTTTACCCGTGCATTGCTGTCGTGGCTCTACGAGCATCCCTTCCCGCACGCCGTCACCCAGAGGGCATTGTCTGCATTCTTAGGGGCTGCTCGACAGGGTCTTGGCTAGGTCTCCGTCATTCTTGGTTGTTGCGTTTGTTTGCAAATTTGTCTCTCAGCGCTTGAATCTGAGCACTACCTCAAAGCATTAACCTAGGAAGAGCCCATGCAGAAGCTGAATACCACAGACCCCTGGATCGTGAAAGCGGAGAAGCTTTCGATCACTTCCCCGGGGTATCCTGCAATCTCTTGGGCGCTGCTGGATCCAGGCAGGGCTTATGTATTCAAAAGCTATGTGAGAGTAGGCCATGATCCGATCAGTCATGCGTGCTCAAAGGCTATATCTCTTTACGAAACAGCCTTGTGTTGGTACAGAGCTTGGTGAGACCAAGGAGTCTATGGTCCCGTTGACTACGTTGTTGTTTCGCTGGTAACTGCAAGTTTTTATAGCCATGCAAATCCAAAATGCATACCAGCAAGCCAAACTCCAGCAATCACCATCCGTTGTTGTACCAGGCGTGCAGTTCTCCTCCTCCGCAAAGCTAGACACTTCTGGTTGGGCAGGCAATCCTGAGGACCACCGTTGCTGATCAACTTGATGTTTACATTCGGGGTTACTGCAAGTGACGCGGCGTTTGCAGGTCTTGCTTGGTTTGTTTTGGAGGAGATTGTCATCTATCACTTCTTTTTCGGAGCGTGGTTGGAAGCCGAAAGCGCCATCACCGTGGAGCGAAGGGTTGATGATGTCTTCGACGTTTTCTACAACATGACATGTCAGGGAGAGAAAGCGGCCTGCAAGGAGAGGAGGGCTCAAAGGATTTTGGAACACCTCATGGCCAATAGAAAAGGCGAGTCTCGCCCTCCCACAGACAGAGCGTGCTACACGCTGCCTTATGAGGAATTTGCCAGCAAATTTGCTGGCCCTGACAATCTAGGCAAAGGATTCCTAGATCAGCAACGAGATGAAATTACGACAAAATGCTTGGCTACCTGCAGCCAACGCTTGGGAGTGTGGGGGGGATTAGCCAGTAGATTGTTTAGGGTGTTCTTGGGACTGTAAGCAAAGCCTTCCTAATTCAGGCATAGAATAAATTGTTGCGCGAAATATTCGGGAGCAAATATTCCAAATAAACTATATCTCAATATCACGGCGCGGCCACTTGCGGCCATTTCGCTCGCACGGGCCTAGGTTTTCTGGCTCACCTTTAAAATGCCTCCTGCGGGTTTGTTAGGGGCTCTAAAATCTCGGAGATTTTAGAGCCCTTCGGAAAAGCTAGAGGCTTTAAAATCTCCGAGATTTTTGGTGCGGGCGGCGCGACCAAAAATCTCGGAGATTTTTGGTCGCGCGGCCCTTGCCTCCGGAGCGGTCTTCCGCGTGATTTATCCCTTTTTGGCTGTCCGCGCGGCTGCTCGTCGGAGCGCATAGACTCGGGACGGAGAACTAAAATATTTTGGAATTCATTGATTGGCCGTATCTGTTCACGGAGATGTATGCGCTCCCCCGAGCTGCCGCGCAGATAGCCCAAGAGACATAAAAGAAGCGGAAAGACCTTGCTGGATGCGGGGGCCGCGCGACCCGAAATCTCCCGAGATTTCGGCTGTCTGCGCGGCGGCTGGGTGTAGACCTGGGGCGGAGATCCAAAATCTTTCAGAATCTATTAGGTTGACCGCTTTTGGTCACGTGCCGTCTTATGTATTGATTATTCGTCGGGATTCACGTGCCATCTTATATGTTCCGCGTGATTTATCTCTCTTTGGTCGTCTGCGCGGCTGTTCGGAGGAGCGCGTAGACCCGGGACAGAGAACCAAAATCTTGCAGAATTTATAGGTTGGCCGTATCTGTTCAAGGAGATGCATGCGCTCGCCCGACTCGCCGCGCAGATAGCCCAAGAGAGACGAATGAGGCGCAAAGACCGGGCTGGATACGGAGGCCGCGCGATCAGAGGGCCGCGTGACCAAAACTCTCCCAAAATTTTGAGCAATTTCTCTCTTTGCAGATCTAAAATCTTTCGGTATCTATATGTCATGTGCATTCTTAATATGTTGATAGTTCATCAGGCTTCATGTGCGATCTTATATCTTGCCTGGTCATCGGATTTCACGTTATAGGCTTTCTCAAATAAATATTTTCCGCTGCTATAAGCAGCGGACCAAGTCTACATCATACAAATTGCAGATCGCAGGAAATAAATTCTCTCTCTATATATATATATTTATGTCATTCTATCTTTCTTTATTGGGAAACGATTATTTATTTGAATTGATCTATTAGTTTTCATTTGATTTCTACATATTTATCTAATTCTTTGATATTATCTATCAAGCTATTATTATAAATTTCTTGTGATTCAATTATTAATATCTCTTTCATTATTTCATAACAGATTTTTATCTATTTTTGCGATAATTATAGAAATATATGATATGAGGTATGCGTTTTCGTATTTAATTTATTCGATATTCTATATTTGTATTTCAATATCTTCTCTCTAAGATAGCTATAGCTTATTTTTCTATTTGATTCTGATTTCAATGGTATTATATTTTCGATGATATCTTGAAAGAGATAATATTTTATTGAATTTGATTTGAATTTAACTGGTTATGATTCTTTCATTATTGATCGATTCAAATATTGAATTTGAAGAGTAATGATATTTGCTTCCGAAAAGATTTATTATGATTATCTTTTGATAATCATTTCTTATATTGAATCTTGTTATCTTTGATTATTTTAAATACAAATTTTCGAGTTTTTGATAATTTTAGGTTTTCTGTTTCAAAATTGATTTTATTTAAAAATGTATCATCAAATTTATTCTATTATTATCTAATGAAAAATGAATTCAATTATTTATTCAATTCTGAATTTCTTAATATTTCTATTATCTTTTAAAAGATGAAATATATTTAGATAATTATCTAGATTTCATATTTGATTAGATTCTAATTTTCATTTTTATGTATATATTTCATAAATGATTATAGATCATAAATTTAGTAATATTCAATAAGATGATTTGATTTCTGAGAGAATTGAATTCTCTTGGGATTTCTGAATTTGCTAGATTTTTATGATTGTGGAAAATCTAGAAATTCTAAATTTTCTGATATTTTTCTTGCGAAGATTAGATGATTAAAAAAATATAAATATTTATTCGTATAAAATGCCGAGCAAACATTCAATTCAAATTTCTCATGATTAATCTATTTTTCTTTTTATATATATAGATTCATCATTATATTAATCTAATATATTCATTACGATCTGATGATTTTTGATTTTATTAATCGATCTAGTAATTTCTGAATTCATTTATCTAATTTCATTCGAATTCAAAAATTTCTTATCTTAATCGTTTATGATTCATATAAATTATCTATCTATAAAAAATCTTGTTTTATCTGATTTATCAATTCGTCTAAATAAATATCTAAAAGAAATTTATTTGATTAATGATGATCTAATTCTTATAAATAATATATTAATATTCTGATTAAGTCGAAGAAATGATATCTCGAGAATATTAATTTCTTCGCCTATCAATTTGAATAAATATTCTTATAGAAATTGATTTATTTAATTGATTAATTATCTTTATTTACGAGAAAGATTTGATATTAGAATAATATTATGATTTCTGAAAATATTTTAATGATGATTCTAGAAATTAATAATATAAATGAATTTATTTAATATTTTGGAAATATGTCGAATCAAAATTTCTGATATCATTAATATATTTATTTTCTTGATTAAAGATAAAGGACCGCCGAGAATCTTATATATAGAAATTATTTGAATTGAAATGATATTAAGATATCGTCGTTCGGCGAAATAAAGGAGAATAAAAAGACGAAATGATAATTAGAATGAATCATCTTAGGGAGATATCTTTTTCTATTTATAGTTTATAATTATGATTCATATTCTGATTCTTTCAAAAAATCTTAAAGATATATTTATTATGATTTGATATTTAAGGATCTGATTCTCTGAAAAAAATTAAAAAATATCTTTTATCATAGGGGATTTAAAGATTTGATTTTCTAAAAAATCTTAAAGAGATAGATTTCTCTTGATATTTGAGATCTAAAGGAATTATTCTCTGAAAAATCGTAGAGATATGATCTTAATAATTTACGATTTTGAATTTAATTCTCTGATTCATTTTAGATATACTTTATGATTTGAGATTTTGAGATTATATTATTTGAAAAATATCGGTAAGTCATTTCATATTTTTTTCAGAAAAATTAATTAGGCAGATCTCGCCAGATTTTATCTAATGAATTCGATAAATATAATGAATAAAATTTGATGAAATCTACGCGTCTTAGATATTCAGCTAAGATAATCGGGGAGATCGTAATAGATTATATCTGACGAATTTGAGAAAGATAGATGCATATGATCTATTCGTCTTATTATTTCAGAAAGGATGGAAAGCTTATTATTTCAAAAAGGATAACCGGATAGATCCTATCAAATTCTATTCGATAATTTTGAGAGGAATATATAGATAAGATCTGATTTGATCTATATATATTCTTCTTCCAAAAAAGATAATTGATCAGATCATATTAAAATTATCTAATGAAATTTGATAATATACCTTCCAAAATCTGATAGGATCTACGTATCTTGATCCTTCAGAAATGATAATCGCGTAGATCGTATCAGATCTTATCTAATGAACTCTAATAGAATAGACGGATAAATCTTAATTTTTTAGATAAAATAATCGTACAGATCTTATTAGATTTGATTTATTGACGATCAGAATTATAGGATTTTGGATTATTTATAATCTCGCATTTGAGATTTCTTATAAATCTTTAATAGAAATTTAAGAAGATTCCGTATATAGGAAATTTACGAAATCTATATTTTGGATCTATATATATCAAGATATATATGAATATATATAATGAGAAATCATATCAATTGGGAAGATATTCTATATAGAATTGCCATTTTTGATGAAGAAATGAAAAGAATTGAAAACATATTATGAATCTATTCGATTTGATATAAAATTTTCAGGATATTCCGTACGAGACCGCAAATCTTGATGAATTTCATCTTGCCCCGCACGAGAACGTAATTTTAATCAAATTTTCATGATTCTCCGCACTAGAAGTTCGAGATGCAACGAAAAAATCATGAAATTTTGAAGATATTCCGCACGAGAGCGCGATTTTATTCAAAAGATTCTAAATGAGAGCGCGATCTTATTCGTAATTTTCCGGATACTCTATATAAAAATACGATTTGAAATGAAGAAATCGATTTCGAGAATTTCAGGATATTCTATATGAGAACGCGAGATTCTTCAAAAATTTTGAGATATTCTTTATGAAAATATGAATTTGATCGACGAAATCAACGATGAAAATTATATTGATCGATTTCCGAAATTTTCGATCAAATTTTGGAATAGAAGATTGGTCGTAGAAGACTATATTATTATCAAGAAATCCAATGAATTTCTCATAGACGATTATATAAGGGATTAGATTTGAAAATATTATTTTTGATCATATAGGGAGATATGAGCGAGGAAGATGAGAAAATTCTGAATTCGTTCGATATGGCAATCGACGATCCGAATAGATATGAAATTAATAGGATTCGATATATATTATAGATCAGATCTTGATGATTCTCCAATATTAAATCAATCATTGATCTTATATAGATGAATAGATTCTCAAAGATTTTTTTTTTCTCTGAGATTCTTTTTCGATTGAATCATTCCTCCAAAAAAATCTCTTTTTATCAATGATTATTAAATATTCTCCGCCACGATAGATCGGAGGAGATGAATGACGTATAGATCTCGGAAAATTTCTAAGATAGAAATTTCAATGAATCATTTTGATATATGAAGCAAGGATCTGATATTATATATCTTGAAGAGAAAATGATTATCTAGAATATGGTTCCGATATCTTTTCTCAATGAATTTTTCAAATAGGAGAGATTCCGAAGATCGCTAAGATGATGAGAGAATATAATTATGAATGAAAAATCAATTTTAATCGGAATATCTTGAAAATCAATCAATATAAGGTAATTCTTCTTTCAAAAAAATTATCCGGAAATATCTTTCTGAAAAGAATTGAAAAAAATAAATCGACGAAGAATCGCGTAATTTATAATAGAATCAAATAAATATAAGCAAAAATTCAGAAAAAAATACGAATTTTGAAAATTCTACGTCATGAGAGCACGAATTTCCAAATTTATCATACGATCAATTCAAGATCAAATGATTTAATGAATTATAAATTAAAAGATAGAAAATTAATATTACGAATATTCTTTTTTTTAATATTAGTCCTCTATATTGAATATATTATAAGAAATATATATATTAATTAGAGATGATCTGCAGCAATGAAAAAAAAAATATCTGAAAATATCTCTATAGAGAAATCTGATAAATGAGGAATATATAAGATTGCATATATAATCTATCGAATAATCAATCTATAAATTCGCATATGATAAAAACGACCGATCTATAGATTCTGATAAATTTGAGATCTCCGCCCCTAGAGAGTCCGCAGGAAGTATTTAAAAGAGCTGGCAAGTTTAGATTGCGCGCGAATGCAAAGGCCGTAAAAAGATGCGTCATATTATCAAAAATATTGAATTGATACAACGCCTATAAAAATAGAAATTCTTTATTTGAGAAATCCTATACCGAGAAATCCGATCAATAATCATAATACGAAATCGTATAAGAAATCCGACGAATAATCAAAATATAAGATCGTCCGTATACGATAGAAAACGCTCATCTTATAGATTGAAAAAAATTTAAATCCCAGACCGGATTTAGTTATTCCGCCGAATTATCGCATAAATAACCAAAGAAAGAGAAATCATTTGAAATTTCGGAAGAAGGAAAATTTTGTTTCTATATTTTCATAAATCTATCTCGATCTTTCTATCTTGCCAATAGCTTGGGGTAAAATATGTTCCGATCAATCTGAAAATTAGAATATGCATTTTTCTCAAGATCATAATATAACGCGAAAAATTATTTCAATATAAAAATATTTCGTCATATGTGGGGTTCATTTAAAATGAAGCTTGCAAATTCCTGAAAGATTTTAAAATCTCCGAAATATCAAATTAAATCCTTCAAAAAAATTATAGATCCTAAAATCCTCCAAATATTCATAAATACGATTAAAAATCTTAGATATTTTTATTCGTAGAACGAATTCCTATTTATTTACGTATTAATTCGATATAAAATATAATTTTTATGTAGAATCTATTATTCAGATTTCATGCGAAATATATATCAAAATTATTCATTTAATTTCTCTTTATATTTTTTTCTCAAGTGTATATTTTCTCATAGATCTAATCTTAAAATGAATTTCTATTCTTTCAATCGAGCAGATAGTTTCGAGCTAGAAAAATAAAATTCTCTTATAAATATCATCATTATATATTTTTCAATATTCTATCATATATTCTAACGAATAAATATAAGAATTCTCAGATACCTTTCAATAACGGACTATCTATTTCGAGAATCAATATCTCAAAACGTATGCGAACCGCTGCGCAGCCGACCAAAGAGAAAGATTTATTCGAATTCTCAGATATTTTTTCTCAGGCGAAGCCATAAACAGAGCCGACCAACTTATAAATTCTGAAAATTCTTCTTTCTCCGTCCCGGATCTATGAGCTCCGCGAGAAGTTGCGTAGATAGCCAGAGAAATCACGCGGAAGACCGTTGTAGAGGCAAGGAACGTGCGACCCCGAAAAATCTCGGAGATTTTGCCTCTAGCTTTTCCGACGGTAGGAGGCGTTTTAAAAGCCAGAAAAGCTAGGCCGCACGCGAGCGAAATGGCCGCAAGTGGTCGCGCCGTATTTTTGAGGTATGTATTGAAGTGCGAATATTAGGTCGTTTCGACCAAGGATCTTCGTATTTGGCGTAACAAGGGGATAGAAATCCCGACCACAATCCAAATAAGAAATCATAACGCCATATGAGGATATAATATCGTGAATACAGCCTTTCCAAGCAAGAGCTCCATTGAGCACAGAATTGTTATGTGTAAATAACTCTTAGGGATAGAGGGCTGGCATAGCTTTTTTCAAAACACCGCGTCCTAACTAATCTTTCAGACTCGATTGCTACAGAATAGCCTTGCCGTGTGCCCACATCAGCTAAGTGAGGAAGTCAGCAGTGGGTCCTGCTACACATCAGGCACCATATGCAAAGTCATGGGCCAATCTTCTCTTCCCTGACTGCGTCCTTGCCATTTCTAGGTCCCTTCTGCGCCTGCCGGAGGCAGCTCAAATCACATGTGTCGGAGGAAGTCAAGCACACTGGCTTGCCAACTTAAGTGGAAGCTTGCGACTTGTCAATTGAGTCTAATCCTCTGCGTTGCCCAGCGCCATCCCCAGCAACCCACTCTCACAGCTCAACAGGACCAGTGTGGACAGTTTGTCCAATGCACCAATCAATCAATGTTGCTGCCTACGCTGTCAACGGCCATCGCTTCCCCATTTCCTGCAAGCAGCTCTCAGCACGTCCACATGCACTCCCCCTAGAGCAGCCTGCTGCAACGCAGGTCTTCTGTCAAATAAAAGCTCTCACTTCCTGCACGCATGATCTCTCTTTGTCTTAGATTGTCAAAGGGGAAGACTTGCTGCTCTTCTGAATGTACTGTCTGCGATCTTTAGCCATGTCTAATTGCCGTACAAGTTCTGAGGACGCTACACACATGAAACTGGCCTGGAGACTCCTCCGTCTTTTGCTTTTTCGCCGGTGGCCTGAGCAGCAATTGAAGCATGGTACTTCCGGTCTGGCAACACAGCGACTGCATTCCAAGAATGAGGCTCAGCGATTGCATCTGGAGCTTCTGAGGGCAGTCCCTCGGGAGCAGCGACACTGGGAGTCGATGCGGCATCTGGTGCAATTGTAGCATCCGATGGAATGGCCGCATTTGCTGGCACTTGTGCTGAGGCATCTAATGTCGGTACCGGTGCAGATGCTGCCGCATCCGCTGTCGCGGTGACATCGGCAGCGGGTGCTGGAACAGCTGGTGCAGGGGCCACTGGTGCCGGGGCCGCATCTGGCACCGGTGCTGCGTCTAACGCAGGTGCAGCACTTGGCGCTTGCGCCGCATCCGGGGCTGCTGCATCTTGCGCGGGTGCTGGTGCCGCTGCATCTTGCGCTGGCGCCGCATCTGGCGTGGTGTCATCAGCCACAGGGATGGCCGCGACAGGCACAGGCACCTGGGGGATCTGAGTGAAAGTTGCGTGAAAGTCGAGCTTTTCACGGCAAGGTCTGAGTCCCCTGCTGCACCTGCAGGCTGTGCCTGGCTCTCTTGAAACGAAACGGAGTTCCACCGCACCCTTTCGCAACTTGAAAAGATCCAAGTGCGCCACATTAAGCACTTGTGGCTTGCCATCCTCCGTCATGCCCAGCTCAAAGTAGACCATCTGCCATGCGCAAGGAAGCTCCAGAAGGTGACTCCTTTTGAATCTTTCTGCCCATCCACATCCCGCTCAAACCAGCACCACACAATCCACAGAGTCTTGAATTGACTGTTCCAGGAAAGTGCGTACATCTCAGCTGCAATTGCACTAGGCATAGGACAGCTGCTAAGAAAACTGCGCTCTCCTGGCATTGCAAATCTGTGAAGTGGCACAGCCAGTTTCGACTCAAAGCCGGGGTATTGAGTACAAACTTCGCATCGGACAAGAAAAAGTTTCGGGAAGAGGTCAGGGGATTGGGCTCTTGGGATGGAGCTGCGATTCTTCAAATCTTTCTTGCGAAAAACTGGCAACCACAATATCAAGGCTTGTTTGTACAGAGAAGCAACAAAATGCCCACATCGGAGATTTGTCTGCCCAAAAATGCAAACTGTTCGGCAGGGGATTCTGAACTTGACATTGCATGACAAGTCACAAAATGGTCTGTGCCCTTCCAGTGCATTTGAAGAAATATTCCCCAGGCTCTGCGCTTGAGGCACGCTGCTCAAAATTCTCGATGTGAATTGCGCCTCTTGCAATCTCAAACACATGACCGAAGTCATCTCGCTGCTGATCTCAAACCAGCGCGGCTGACAAGAAGCATGGATCTGAGACTTCACCCCGCAACCCGACCCCCCGGAAATGCTGAATTCACATTAGGGGCTCTTACATTTGTAAAATCCCGCCGCAGAAACACACTTATGATAAGACCCACAATTCTGATGTTCACCGGAAGGCATTAATCTTTTCGGGACGACGATTTTAATCAAATCCCAGTTGGTTTTATATATGTTTTCCAACCTACATTTTGGGCATTGTTATTCCCGGGCACCCCCGGAATGGAGATTGGTCAATCCAGGAGGGAGGGTCATTAATGTCAAGCCAACACTAAGCTGAAGCACACAACATTCTCTGTTGTGAAGCGTGCTGGTTTTCAGAACAAGCACAAAGTCACAAAGCCAATTCTGCCTGCCTCGCCGACTGCCTGACGATGAAAGCAGCCAAGGCAAGGCTTAGGGTCATGAACCGAACCCTGGCTCTGACTTGGTCCCCTTCGACTCACAGCAACACTCTACAAGTAAGCTGCAAGTGCCCCACATGTCTCTCTCACACACTGAAGGAGCCAAGGACAAGAAAAGGCCTCATTGAAAACTGGCGACCAAATAGCCTGTCACCCTGTCACCACCAGGCCACTACGGCACCTACAATCTCCTCGTCGTCGCCTTGTTCGGAACATTCTCCAGCTCCCGATTGTGAGCAAACACGTCCGAGCCAAACCTCAACGATAAAACGGGATAAAAATCGCAAGAGAGTCAAACATCACCAACCCATGCATCAGTGGCTTCCAACATCTTGCGTGCAGGGCATCATGGAGTTCAGGGATGAAACAAAGCAACAACAAACTTCGTCCTGCAGTCCAGTCAAAAGGCCTGGCCCTTAGCTCATCAGATCCGACGAAGCCCCAGCCTCAAGAGTGAGCAGGATCGCTGCACCGCAAACGGGGAGAATAAAGAAAGACGTGTTTGAAGCATATCCTTGCAGAGCACGGGAGAGTGCAATTAAGGGCTCGTCCGTTAGCTTCATTGAAAGTCTTGAACTCTGCAGTGAAGAACTCACCAGTGGCTTGGGGCCTGAGCACGACACCGCATGTCCTCTATCTAAGCCTAGAACACCGAGGCAAACGTTTGCCGAGAGAAAGCAGACATCAGAAAATTGTTTACTGTTTCAAGTATGTTGCTGCAACTCTTGGACTGTAGAGCTTGGGCTGCCAAAAGCCAAACGAGTGAGTAGTTTGTTTTGGCCTTGAACTGATTGAGATAATGATAATACTCTTCTTGTAATAAGATACTGCAATCAAAAAGAGAGCTTTATCTTGCCTTCCTACATATTTAAGGTGCTATAATACTCTTATCTAAAACAAGTATGCCACTCGACTGCCAAACAATCAAAAACCCACACCATCCTGACCTTGTCGGGGCTCTGGCACGCCCCCACGACGTGAGCCAGACATGTGGACACCTGCGATGGCACCTGGCATGGAAAGAACGTGAATGCTGGGCTCCCTGCACCCATAGCCAGCCCCAGGACTTCTCTTTTTGGACGTTGGTGTATCTGAAATGATGGAGAACTTCTGCGAGGGTCACTGGATCTTCGGATCCAGGCCCAAAAATGCAAGACAAAAAAAAAGCCGAGCAATGGAGCTTCTCCTTGGTATTGGCCATGTTGGAGCCCCCGAACGATGGAAGTTGCACGTCAAATCAATCATGCAAATTCGCAGAATAATGAAAGCAGAACAGTAGGAAGCAAGCTTCAGCAATGCTAGGGGCTCGCACTGGACTCCCATGAAGGCGGCACATCTTCCGCATCCTTAGATCAAACAAGCAAATGCTGCACATAAGATCAAATTGCAACTGTTGCTGACTGCCAAGGTAGCTTCTCTGTCAGAAGTTTGTTAAGCCATTGGTTGGCAGAAGCGACGCATGGTTGCAGTGAGAGCCAAAATCACTTGGGACAACTAAAACTCAATCACTTGCACAAACGAACCTGCAATCACTTCGAATGAGTGACTCTCGTTCTTGCCGGCTTAGGGTTTGGGGTTTGCAGCTACTTAGGGTTTTTGTTTGGGCTTGTTTGAGGACTTTGGTTGCTTAGTTCGGGGCTCTGCTGGGTTTAAAGTTTGGGGCTCTTGAGGTTTGCTAAGAGTTCTAGATTTGGGGCTTGGGGTGTTTAGACTTTAAGGTTGGGGGTTGCTGAGGGTTTTGAGCTTGGGCTGGTTTGCTAACTGCGGTTTAGACTACAGGGTTGCACACACTTTGGGGTTGGGGATTGCTTGGACTTGGATTTATTCGGCTTTGGGGCTTAGGGTTCGTGGTTTGGGCTCATTTACGGTGTGGACTGTGGCGTTGATTTAAAGTTAAAGGCTTAAGGTTCTTCAGGGTCTAAGTTGCCAACAGTTTGGCGCTTGGGTGGTTGAGAGCTTGAGGGCTGAGGAGTGTTAAAAGGTTAGGGCTGGTGGTTGGTTAGGGTCTAGGGTATAGGGTTGCTTAGGGATGCAGGTTGCTGAAGGTTCAAGGTTTGGGTTGCTTGGGTTTAGGCTGTGTAAGGGGTGCGGAATGTGGGTTGGTTTGGGATTGAATGTTTGGGCTGTTCAGAATTTGGTGTTTGGGTTGTTTAGGGTTTAGGATTCGGGTTGTTTCAGGTGGAACTTCTGTTTGTTTCGGGCTTGAAGTTTTTTGGATTTCAGGTTTAAGGTTTGTTGAGAGTGTAGGGTTAGGGGTTGCTGAAGGCTTAGGTTGAGGGGTTGATAAAGGTCAAGTGTTTGGGTCGTTGAGGGCCCATCAATAGCAAGCCATATACTGTACTGATAAAGCCTCTTCCACGCAGCTAGCCCCTTTTAGGGCAGAAGAAAGATTGTGGGGATGCTATACGAACTCTATCATGCTAGATAAACATGACATCAATTTGTTCACGTTCGGCAATCCGGAGCCCCAGCCGCCCCGACCCGGACCGATACCCAGGACGACACAGACCCAGACCGCCTGGACAGCTCCTGCACCCCAACAGTCTGGGGATTTCTCATATGTACGATTGAGGTTGTTGAGGCTTTAGGGTTTGTGGCTGTTCAGGGTCAAGGGCTGAAGGTTGTTCTGGATTTAGGTTTGTGTTTATTGAGGTTTTTTTTTGGAGGGGGGGGTTACGTTTGATGCTGTTTAGGGTCTAAGGCTTAAGGTTTAGAGGGGGGCGGTAAGAATTTGGAGTCCCAGGTTGAAGTTGCTTAGGTCTTAGGTGGCCGGTGAGGGTTCGAGGTCGTTTATGCTCAAGGCTTGGATTTGTTTAGTCTAGGGCCAAGGGTTTGGGGATATTTGGGATCTAAAATTGGTTGCATCTAGGATTGGGGTGTGTGGGGTTTAGGGGTTTCGGCTTTCTACCTAGTGCTACTTGGGTTCCTCAGGCCCTCTGGCATCCAAAATGCCGCTTCCATGATGTTAGTCGTAACATGCTGTCCCCTTTCGGTCGCACAAGATGGGTTCTTCTGCCTACCCTCACTCATGTGCTAGGGCTGTCCCTGCATGATCCTTTGCGCCGTTCACTTCCTCCTCCCTTCCAGGTGCTTCAATAAGCGTTTTTGCATCAGCCCACTCACCCCCACCTCCTGCGACCTCACCCGCCTCTACCTTCACGATCTCCTGAATATTGGTCACTACGATCCCCTCCTTCGCGCAGTGTGGGGTTGTTTACGGATTAGGTTTGGGGCCAGAAAACATTTAGGGGATGGAGGCTGTTTGGAGTTTGAGTTTCTCGAGGGTCTGGGTTTAGGCTGTTTGTTGTTTTAAGTTTTTTTTTCTGTGCCATAACCTCGCGCATCTGGGCGACTGATGAGGCCGTGGGCGCGTAGAAAGCGGCTTCAAAATTGGCGGCTGATTGCTTCTGTGTTAGAGAGATTGACTAGGTTTTACAGGTTGGCTTTGAGAGGCGGCTCTTTGGATGATTACCGTTGCAAGTTCATCTTGCTTAGGCTTGGGGTTTAGAGTCTGAGGTTGTCTGGGGTGCAGGGTTTGGGGCTGTTTAGGGGTTAGGAATGGTGACCATTGAAGAATTGACTTGCTTGTGTGTTCGAGGCTTGAGGCTGTTTAGGATTCAAGGCTTCAGAAATACGAATGAGGGATCTGGGTTGCTTAGGGTTTAGGGTTTGTGCGTGCTAGTGTCTAGGGCTTGGGGTTTCGGGTTTAGGCTTTTTGGGATTCAGAGCTTTGGGTTGTTCAGGGCTTGGGGCTGTTGAGGGTTTATGTTTTAAGGTTGATTTGGGTCTACCTTCTATATCGGTTGGTAAGGTTTCAGGTTCGTATGATCTTGGATTTGGGGTTACTTAGGGTTTAGGGATTGCGGTTGTCTAGGGTTTCAGGTTTGGGGTTGTTGAGGGTATGGGACTGCTTCGGCTCAGAGTTCGGGGTTGTTTAGGGTTCGTAGCTGTTTCGATACAAGGGGTTTGCCGTCTCTAGAGCCTAGGGTTTGGGGGTTGCTCATGGTTTACAGATTCAGGTTCTAGCTGGGCAAAGGATGGTTTAGGGTTTGCGGGTTATTGTTGAAGGCTAAGGTGCTGTTTAGGTTGGGGTTTGGGGCTGTGTACGGTGTAAGAGGCGTGGTTGTTCAGGGTTAAGCATTTAGGGTTTGGGGTTAAAGATTTGGTGTGTGGCTGTTTAGGGTTTAGGGCTTGGACTACTCAGGGTTTAGGTCTCAGAGCTGGTTGGGATTTAGAGTCTAGAGATGCAGGCTGGGTGGGGACCATGGGTTGTTGAGATTTGTTGAGGGTTTCAGGTTCTGGGCTGCTGAAGGTTTAGGTTTTGGGGTTGTGTAGGGTTCAAGGTTTGTGATTGTCCAGGCTTAGGGATTGTTTAGAGTTGCAGGTTTGGGGCTGCATAGGTTTAAGCTTTGGGGTTGTTTGGCGTTTTGTGCGTGTGTAGCGGCTTTTGTACAGCCGTAAAGGAGCAAAAATATCGGATCAAAACAAGCCTGGAAGTACATCCAAAACTCAGTGAGTTATGGGGTTGTTGTGATACACCCCTTCACAGCGCCACAAGCAGGAGGACACTCCAGGCGAGAGCCACACTTCAAAAGATCCAAAAAATACAGCCAAAAAACAAGAAGTCCGTTTGTTGGCGCTCCTTATTCTTTAGGGTTTGGGGCTGTTGAGGGTTAGGGGTGATGTTGGCTGACGCATCGAAAAAAATGCTAAGCATCAAAAAGA